ATTTGTGAAATAAAAAGTTGATTAATTCTATGTTGTGCGTTGTTATATCTACATGAATCAATACTGGTGATTACGCCCGATTTAATACACTGTCGAAGTCTTCTTGTCGATTTCGTTATTTTCTTATTACTATTTTTGTTGACTCTGCTTTGAATGTTGCATATTTTCATTAAAAAAAAAGAATTTTTCTTTTCGTTCGTTGTTGATTTTTCAAAGTAATTGTAACGGCATGATGTCAAGAGTTTAACTCTACTCTTTCCTACAGATGTCAACAAACAAGCCACCTTAAGAAAAAAGGAAACAGTCTTTGGAAGAATCGATAGACGAGCGAAAACTGAGAAGTATGTTTACTGAAGAACTATACTTGCAAAAGTTTTCTTTTAAAAATTCGAATTCATCCAAGTTGAATATTGAATACTAAACGAAATTCAAGTATTGAACAAAATCGACATTTTTTTAATTCTTGAAAGCCTTCTATATTCAAATTCGTTGTATCGAAAACCAAAAAAGTTGCATTTGAAATTGAGATGAACAGTTTAAACGTGGGATTTCGATCAAAATTGATTTTACTTATTAAATAGTACAAAAACCTTTCTTGCAATATTTTTCATCTCAAAATCTAATAACTTATTGAGAACCTACTCATGAATCTTTCAATGTAATACTTGCTTCTATACTAATCATGAATGTCGATGATTCTGATTTCTATTAACGATTGATGTAACGATTAAATCATAGTTAAAATTTCACTTTAACGACAGAATAACATTTTTTTCAACGAAAAACAAAAAACTACATATATTACGACTGCTTTTATTAATATATATATTGACATATAATTTCTCTAGTTTTATGTAGAACAATTATTGATTATTTTGACAAAAAACAAATTTATTAATATTATGGGTTGATTCTACAAATCTCGATAGATGGCAGTATGTGCAACATTAAATTTATGTCTGTTCACGAACACGTGTTAATTCGGAAACAAAATAATTTTGAAGTGGTACACATGAAAACGTTTTTTAAATGTATAAAAGCTTATTAAATTATTCTGTACAACAAATATGCGGGAGTAGCTGGATGAGAACTGCTCACACCTGCTAATATAGCTGATCAATTGAAAATTTTAGTTTTAGATTTGAAGAAAAAAAATTCCATCTTGAAGAACAAATTTATTTTAGATATGGAGATAAATTTTAGAACTTGATGGATGATTTTTGGTTGAAATATGGTGATCGGATTATAAGTACCCGTGACATCTTGTTTTTCATTTTACATATTTTTTGTCAATGATTTATTTTGAGATATTTTTATGATATATTCTCGCCAGTACGAACTAGAATTCTAAAAATTTCAACAGATATATTTTGAAATGTGCAATTCAATCATTCTATCCAATGATGTCTATGTCGTGACTAGTGCCCGGCGTGACCAACTTTTTTGGTCACGGTCACGTCACGGTCACGACAGGTTGATCACAGTCACGGTCACGGTGAGCCCAGGCCGTGACCGTGAGTCACGGCCCTTTTCATGGTTTCTCAACATGAAAAAAAACTTTCCAGAAAGAGCTATTGCAATGTTTCCTTGCCAGATTCGTTATGGATTCAGTCAGAATCCTTCCAGGATTCGCTTTTTCCTGAGGGAACGGCGAAATCCTGTAAGAAGTGTGTATTCACGAAGTTTCAAGATCCTAACAGAGTTCGAAAAAGGATTCCATCAGAATTCTGAACAGGTCTCCATCGTTGTTGAACTTGGAATAAATTTGAAAACAATATATGGCTGTGAGTGTGAGCAGAACTTCTACTTATATTAACTGACAAGAGCGGTCACTGATATACTCTCTTGTTGACTTTTTGTTGCGACGCTCCTCAGTTTTAGCTGCAAAAAGTTGACTGGGTCCTTGTCCCAAGATCCGTGTCTGATCTTGTCTAACATTTGATAAAATCTGGAGAGAATCCTCTCCATTATTTCTGTTAGGATTATAACCAAAATCATGAATGAATCCTTCAAGGATCCTGTATTTATTATCTGCAAACACATCTGGCCAAGAATGGAAAGAAATCCTAANTGTATACCATGTTGTCGATCTGGAGAAATACCAGCACTGTGACTCAAAAATTCAAAAAAACAGTTGTGCGAAACAAATTTCGGTCAAATATATATTAATTTAGAATAGAACAAAACGAGCGTCTTATCATCATAAAGCAAACAAATACTCAGGCTGAAAAAACACGATTGTAAACGGTTGCACCTAGATCAAACATTTAAACTGTAAGATCTTGTACAATTCTTATATGATTGTAATTTTGGATCTTAACAGATTTCTAGATTTTCCACAATGTTTTCTAACAACTTTTGTCCTATTTTTTCGTAGTCCATTGATCTAATGAGCAGAAGGGAGGGAGAGAAATAAACATTAGATCTCCGTCCTTTCTTGTCTACCCTGAAGAAATACTCATTGTAAATGAACATTTATTTTTTTTATTAATACACGTACCATCATTTTTTACGTGAAATAAAATAAATTTTGTTTCTATTGAAAATCTAATCGATAAAATCTTACATCTATTTAGTTAAATCGATAGAATTATCTGAAGGAAAGAAGTAAATAATATAAATAGAACAAAACATACATCTCTTAAATCAAATCAATTAAGTGATCTTTGGTGTGATGTTCTAAGAGATTAACACGACTATATAGAAAACATACACGTATTTTCAATTCTAAAAGGCGTAGCATTAAAATTAGAACATTAATAATTGTTGAAACATTTATTTAGATTTATAAAGCTATCATGATAAAAGCTATTTGTATAAGACAGACCTAAACTTATGGTCTTATTAAACCATATTAGCTTTTAAAAGACTCTGACCATCAGAATTTACAAGAATCATTTAAAATACATGCTAGTATCTTATAGCAAGATATTTGTTCGATTTTGTAAGATCATACAGTGTAAATTTTACGGTATTCTATTGCCTGTAAGATCTTATTTGATTTTTGCAAGATTTTCCCACTTGAGCAATGAATGTATACGAGTGTCGTATACGCCTGTAGTACACAATTGCATTCAGATAAAATAATCATAAGTTCAGTTGCACTTCTTGAGCAAGCAGCTTTTCCATTTTGAATTTAGTTATAACTACAATGTTAAGCATTTATTTTAGAACAAATAATTTTTATATCTTTTATTTAGATTAAATCAAGCAACAAATTTAATTGTGAATATTTTATTTTTAAATAAATAATTTTTTGTTTGATTATTTAGATTAATTTGAACAACAGATTAGATAGTAAGTATCTTTTTTCAATGAGGAAATCGTATTTCACATATTTCATGGAAGGGGCGTTAAGTCTGTCCATCCTGAGCGAGTGAAGCATATGCAGATACGATACCATGGCACGTGGTGTGCGATGCGACAAGATACGATCGTAATTCAGGAGTCATATAATATGATGAAATAGGATCGTAATTTATGTTGTGTACAACGTCATATATCATCTTTTACGACTGTCGTAATGCTCAACCTGGATATAAAACTCAAAATGATTGACTGTGAATCACTAGTATTCATTGTTATCTAGTGATTAAATAGATACTTCTCTAAAAAAAAAACAATTCTTAACGAATTTATTTTATATATAAAAAATAATATATAAATCTTAAGAACGTTGATAAATGACTACAACACAACAAAAACTGATTAACTCATATAATTTTCTTTAGATAAATTCATCATGATTAATTGTTGACAATATCTTATATAGTTTATTTAGTATCTGATATGTTACATATATAACCATAATTTAGAATTGAGAGTTGTGTTACAAATTCATTCTATATAGAATTTGATATTGACATTTTTTAAATTTATGAATTTCGCCTGGTATAGCATAAGAATCGGATGTTTGCCAACAAAACTTCTGCCAGCAAGAATACACGAGAATGAAAGAATAAGTTTGTTTTCACATCAAATGTCTTAATAAGGTGAGAGACATGCAAAGATCATTAGTTTCCTACATTTTCTTTTTGTTTTTATAATGTCACGAAAAAAGTGAATGTAAGAGTTCTTTTTCTCATATAGAAGAAATTATACAAGTAGGACAATAAAAACGACTTAATAATTGACTAAATGGTTGCTGTAGTTTTTTCAGTCGTAATAAAATACAAAGAAAAAAACAAGGCCAGCCTGTGATAAATACAGCAATGAATCAGATTTATTCCTTATTTGAAAAACCTTCAGAATGTTATCGCACTTTTTTATGTTAGATGTTTATCGTAGTGTTGACAAACTTTTTTTTACAATCAAATTGTTGACTGAGTTAATAAGTTTTGTTTGAAGTACTTTTGAATACAAAAAAAAAATAAAGTCTACATAATTTTAGTTTTGACCGTTTTTATATACGGAAGATATGAAAATTGCTACAAAAAATGAATATTATCCGGAATTTTATCGTACATGTATTACTTTTTCCTACGCAAATTCTTAATTTGTCATTGTCAGTAACAGTTCTTTACATCATTCATTCTTTCTAAGCATAGGCAAATGTTGTTCCAGGTATCGATGATTTAATGGAATATAAAATTTAATCGAAATTCTTAACATTTCTCAAGAAAATTATTAAAATATCACTTTACATTAACAATATCAAATATTTAAGAAAATAAATCTCCGTAATATATCTAATTTCTCAAAAAACACTATTATATATGATCATGTCAAAAAATAGTTTGCGTGTTGTGTTAACTATTACGAAGGACTAAATCCTATATAATTTGTATAATGTTTGATAATCATGTTATAAAACCTACGATAGAATCAAAAATCATTGTGACAATATAATTTCACATAATTTCTCAATTCAATTTACAAAATTCAAATTTAATTGATCACAATCTTAATTTTATTTTCAAATTAACTTACTTTTATTATTTAAATTCATTTTTATTTAATAATAATCTTAACTAATATTTGTTCAAACTAAACAGTTTTAATTACACATCATCAGCTTTATGGATTATAGAAATAGTTGGATTTTCTACATAATCTTTTTCTGGATGTCCATAAATTAGATTTGCCAATTCATATTCAAGTTCAGACTCTGTAACTGAAACAATACGCGATGACAAAGGTTGACTAAGTGCTTCGTTGATTATTTTCTGTTCAACAAGAATAATTTCAAGTTCTGAATCGATGCTATTTTCATCAGGTTCCGGTTTTTGACATTCACCATCGTTTTCGTCTATGAAATCAGCTACGATTTGTAATTTCTGCAATAATTACTATGAACAATGTATGTCAAAAACTCTGCTTTCTTAGTGTAAAGCATTTTCAGAACTAAATACCTTTGATAATGACGGAGAAGGTTCATTCTGTAGGACTTCATCTAAAATTATGTATGAGTCATACAATAGAAGACAGAAAGATTTTTTTTGTGACCAACCTTGTATTTTTGATTGTGTTATCGAGGGTTGATAGCGCTTAGAATATTTTGAACTTTTCTTACCAATACAAGCACCCATTTTATAAAAAAAACTACTATTGTGTAAAACTTATTGTTTAGATAGTTCTAGTAAATCGACGAATATTATTTTCTAATGTCGTTTTCTTGTTGTCTGTCTTCTTAAAGGGTTTTTTTTTCGTTCTCATATTGACTCATGTCTTGTTGAATTATATTAAAAAAAAAAGGAGAAGAAAACGACATTAGTATGTTTCATCGAGCTATTATTAATTCTACATAAAAAGAAAAAAAGAAAGAAAAAGAAAATTTTCTTTATTTTGATCTTAAAGAAATAGAGAATGAAAAAATAAATATCAAATTAAAATGCACATGATACTCAAGTTTTTTTCATTCTGAGATGATTACTTGTACTCTATACAAATAAAACTTTCCAATAAAAAAAAATTAAATTTCAAGTTTTCCTATTGATAATATTAAGAATTATGATTTTTTTTTGTTAACTCAAATCTTCTTATGAAGTAGCTAACTATCGAAATAACATCAATCGATCTTGTAATATTTGACTTTTGGCAATCAATTTATTGAGTAATATGTTTGCCAATGAAGTAGTTTTAATTTCATTCGAATTCTTACTTTTGTAACATACATGACAATTAAAGTCTCATTATATTATCAACAGAAATTTATTGCTTAGAAAATTATAATGAAAATAGAGTTGATTGTTAATTATTGCGTTGACAATAAGAAACACTATTATAAAAAAGAAAACTTAAGAAAGATTCGTCAGATGAAAAAGACTTTTCATATTATAATGACATATCTGGTAACCTGAATATAATAAATATAAACAATCTATTTTATTTAAAAAGTGAAGCGTGTGCGTAAATAATTCTTACTGTCATCAACATCATCCTAGAAACTATAAAGATGACGTGCAAAATTCTTGAGAATTACACGTTATCTTCCTACACAGTAACTGTCATCAACATCTAGACGCGACATAATGGCAAGCATAATAGAAGCAAAGATGTCTCAAGAAACGACTGTTGATCAAATAAAATCGTGTGACAATGCTGAATCTTATATTATTCTTTTTTGTAATCGATTAGTTGAACGAACAATTGAACGAGCACTTGGTTTGTATTTTCTATTAAATGATTTTCATTTCTAAATAATATATCAATGAGTTTTTGTTTAGATATTATCTATGAAGAATCAAATCATACGGATCTAAAGATTCATGAATGGAGACATTCTATTGATGAAATAAATATTTCAAACAATTAAATAAATATTTTTCATTTTATTGATGAACTATTTGATCTTTTTTTCTCGTTTTGTCATTTTATTATTGAAAAATGATCGATAAAAAGAAAATAACAAATTTTCCATGTTTTTTTTTCTTCTTCCTTTTTTCATTCTGACTATACCTATTGATTGAAGCAGACAGAAAAGGGTCACATTACTCATGCAAGGAGAACAAGTGTTTGTTTTTTTTTGTATAGTTTGTAAGTTGTTTTTTTCTTTTTCTTTCTACTATTGACAGAAAAATAGTCATATAATTGAAGTTTTCTTATTTTTTTACGTTTGCATAGTTATTTCGTTGTTTATTAAAGATACAACTGCAGACACTTACTACTATTATTAGACGGTTTAAAATAAAGAAAAATGGGTAATCATCCAGGAAGTATTATACATAAACTAACACATAGAAAAAGTAGCACGCATATACCATCGACCCCTTTATCACCAACAGAATTCGTATTACCAAGTAAAACTACATATTTTGAAACATTTATTCTTGTTTGGCTTGATCCTAATGTTGATACAAATACGGAAAATGTCAAAACTCAAGAATGTTTACGAGAAATTCTAACATGTCTTATAACATTTGATACAGTTGAAGCATGTCAAAACTGGCTTAAAAAATGTTGTTCTGATGAAAAAATTATTCTCATTGTATCGGGTGCATATGGACAACAAATTGTACCGCAAATTCATCATTTATCAGCAATAGTTGCCATTTATATTTATTGTTTGGATATTGAGCGTAACAAGGATTGGACTCAGAATTTTGCAAAAATTCGAAATATTATATCTTCAACAGATATTCTTTTACAAGAATTATCTCTTGATCAAGTTAATCTTGAAAGTGTTGAAGATTCTAAAGCATTAAAAATTTATAAACATGAGCAACAAGTTTGTTCTCTTGACACTGCAACCGCATCATTTTTATGTTATCAACTTTTACTTGAGATTCTGATATCTCCAAATTATATAACAACACCAGGAACATTTTATGAACTGATTCATATTCTTCATCAGTATAGTTCTGATGATAAATATGGTACAAAATTAATTAATGAATTCAAAAAAACATATACTCCAAATAAAGCTGTATCATGGCTAACACGTGATACACCCTTGTTACGTTTTGTTAATAAAGCATTACGCGAACAAGATTTTGATATGCTTTTTGCCTTACGTTTTCTTCTTGTTGATATTCATTCTCAATTAACCACCCATCAAGCACGATCGCTCAATGTATTTAAATTACAGCTTATGTTAAAAGATGAAATGGAAAATATTCGAGCGAATCCAGGTCAATTACTAGTTGTAAATGGGTTTCTATTTGCATCGACTAATATGTCTCAATTGATATCTTCAATTACGAATAATGATCAATACGAAACAATTTTATTTGATATTAAAGCCGATTTTCGTCCGGGTGTAGTTCCCTTTGCTCTTCTTCATGATATTGATTCAACTATTAAACATAAAATAAATCGAGAAGTACTTTTTATGTGTGGTTCAATATTTGAAGTTGGTCCGTTAACACATGAAGATTCTATATGGAAGCTTAAATTAAAATTAGCTAGTGAAAATGATTCATCGATATTATTTAATATGAAACAAAAATTAAAAGAAACTAAAAATTATAGTATTCTTGGTGATCTATTATATCAATATAATCAGGAAGAAAAAGCAAGTATTTATTATGAAAGACTTTCTAGTGAACTACCAAATAATCAAGCTTTCGTATCACAAATCAATAAACAATCAACTGGGAAACATACCAGATCAAATTCTAATAAAGGTTCAATTTTTTCTTGTTTAATGAAATCTAAACTTCTGCTTCTCTTTTTTTTCTGTTATTTTAGATTCTATTCCTAATGTGCCGTTTGCTCTTATAAATTTATCTGAACATATATCTGAATTTGCTTCAGCCGTATTATATATTCTTTGTTCTGTAACATCGAATCTTATATATGTTATGAATGATGCATCAACTAATGATTGTTATCAATGGCCTAAAAGACCAATGTCAATATTTACAACCGCACAATTCGTATCTTCATCAGAAAAAAAAATACCAAAATATATAAAATTTTTTGTATTAAGTGATAGCAAGAATAATACTGAACAACAACAACAATTTACAACTATTGATGAATTAATATGTCGATTAGTTGATGAAATAATTCAACACTATCGATTTGAAGCAAATGAATTTATTAAAATGAAAAATTCAATTAAAATGCAAGAACAATATAAACAAATAAATCGAATTTATCATGAATTAAAAAACCTCGATGTGAAATTTGCAAAAAATAATTCTTCTTCAAAAAAATCAGAAAATATTGAACCAATATTAATTTGGTTATTGTCAAATACAGGATATGATGAAGAAGATACAAAATCTATTGCAGAGAATTTTAAAGATAATTTTTCATCATATCTTACTTTTTATGATCCATCTGAATTTCATTCTTATTTACTTATTGAAGAGAATATAACTGATATGTTTATTATCATTTATAGAAATTATGAAGAATCGATTGTAGAGTGTGTACGTCAATTTCCTAATGTTAAATATGTGTATTATTATGAAGCTTCAAAAAATAAAATGGATAATATGACTACAAATCGAGATGATCTTCGTTATCGTATAACATCTGATCTTATTGATTATTATGCAAAACTAGGTGAAAAATATCAAACTAATAAAAAATCAAAAGAAGCTCGACAAATATTTTTAAAAGCACAAAAATTGTGTCGTCTTTTATCAGAAAATTATTTTTAATCAGAGTGATACGCTTTTCTTTTCTTTTTTTCCTTTGTCGTTTTTTTTTTAGATGAAAACTATTGATGATATAGTATTCGATGAAAATTATTCACATGCAACATTTCGATTTTTAGTACTTGATGATCTTAAAATAAATCGAGTTGGTCCTTTACCCGTTATCGAATTACCCAATGCATTACTTATGACATTTACACATGTATTTCGGAACTTAATCCAATGTCAACAATATATAAGGGATGACAATCGAAAAATAATAACATTATTTATTTCTAATAGGAATATCATTGATTGGCATAATCGATTCGATGAAACTGATAATAATATAGATAAAATACATATTTTTTGTGATACATATTATGATTATATACAAATGAAACAATGGAATGGATGTTATAAAAATAAAATTCAAGATGTTTATTTACCTAATGAGGTTGATTATAAATTAGTGAAATTAGGTGTCGATTATATACGTGCAATACTGCCAGACTTTAAAGAAGATCGAGGATTACATAGAAAGTTTTGTACTGATGCAAGACGATTACTTGCAGCATTAGATCAATATTTTGAAGATCAAGCCAATAATCAAGATGAAAGTTGCTGAGAATTAAAATCAGAGTTAACTATCTGTTTATATGAAATAAAACTTAAGTTAAATAAAAAAACATACTAGTATAAACGAACATGTCAAAGTATTAATTATAGTTATACTGCAATCAAGTGTATGAAGTTATANGATAAACACTGGATTTTCTTCAAAAAAACAACAGAACAACATCGTCTTTTCAAATTAGTTTCACCAGGTTCAGTTGTTTTGAATCGCTTGAGAAAAGAACAAGTTGAAAGAATTCCTATGTTGTACGAACAGTAACAAACAGAACAAAATGTGGCCATGTTTTCTTTTTACTTATATTTTGTGTCAAATAAAGTTGTTCTGTGAGTGGTGAAGAGAAAAACAGCTCTGGGGAAATTTTTTGGAGAAAATTTCCGCGGGGAGGGAAATTTTTGATTTTTTGGAAGATTCTGCACCTCTGCTCATTTCCTTCCGCATTCCTGTTACGACTATCTCTTCTGAACATTTCCAGGATTCTCTTGAATTCTCTTTAGAGGCGAGCATTTTGGATCCTTTCTAATGAAAACCAAGGACCTTCAGGATCTTCCTGAAGAAATATCGAGACTGAACGATTATCTTTACAGTTTTCATTTTGAGTATGCTCAAAACTTGATCTTAAGAATTCTAACAAGAATTATAATAGATGTGGTTCAGGATTTTGAAAAACGTTATGAAATCATTCCAATAAAATGTTTACCAGTTTCCCTTTGATATTCTTTTTGACTATTTTCGAATCTTTGAATCTCAAAAAATTACACAGTGTATCTGAACTAAAATAGCAACAGCAACAAGCCGAAAGGTCATTCAGAATTTTACTGTGTTTTGTTTCTACTCTGACACGAATCTAGAAGTTCAAGAGTTTACCGGAATCTTATTCTATTATTTATTTGCATCTCCATGTAAGTGAATAGAAGAGTTTGGGTAGAATTTCAGAAGATTTTTCCTCAAAACATTGCAAGATTTATACTCAATATGATATGATATGACATTCATAGTAAGGTACTTAATTATCTTACGAATTTTAGTTTTACATAAAACCTGAAAGTTCATTAGAATGGATACCTGAATATAAGTTTAATTTTTGTCCTAACTTCGTCTTTAAAAATAGGTTATAGTAAGAGACGAGTCATTCAGTAAACACTGCACTGGATTTAGTTTATTTATATCGAAATAATGAGAAAAAAATATTTTTAATCAAATTGAAATCAACCACTAATGGTAGAATTTCGTAATAAGTGATCAATGTAGCAAGTTTAATACTGAATTTTTCTTCGAATAATATATGTTTATAAAAATTATTCAATTAAAAATTAATATTTCAGAGAGCCCTCAAGATATTGAAGATTGAAGTTAAATTAAATAACTTGACACAGTCTACTGTAGTAAAATAATCGATTTTCTATGCGCTCATTTCTCTTCATTTCCAGCAGAGAAAATCCTGCAGAGATCTAGTCGAGAAATCGGATAATATCCCTAAAGAAGTGTAGTGAAGTCCTCCGAGGTGCAATCAAGACATATTTTCCTAACTACAAATTCAAATTTTGACACGATCTTGATGAGATCAACGCGAAAGGGCTCAAAATGTTTGTAATATCTTGTTCTTATCCTTAAAAAAATCATGTTAATTTCATGCCTACACGTTTTTCTAAGGATTTGTCCTTTCATTAACGAACTTCTTATTTAAATTGCATTGGAAGACTGCTCAGGATCTTGACAGAATTTTGTTATGATTCTTGTCGAATCTTGAAATTGCATGACTACACGATTCTATCAAGATTTAGCGGTTTCTTGATTTATTTATGACTGAAAACCAGTGAAAAAGTGTTCATGATCTCGATTGGACCTCGATTCAAGTTCTGTCAGCATCGTCAAATTCTATAGGTACACTTTTTTCAGATTTTATCGTTCCAATAGAAAAAGCGGTGCAGCTGTGCAGAACACTTGTCACATATGTCAGAGATCTTGCTCAAAAACATTCGAGCTTTTCTCTAGAAAAAATTCAGTATTATCTTTCACAATCTATTGAAGTCCATAAGTATTTCAGCAGAAGCCTAGAAGCTTCATAGTAATTTCAGACTAATATGGAAAATCTGAATACTCGTAAATCTTATTCGATCATGTAAACTGCAAAATTCATCGACATACGCCAGAATTAATCACGACCTATCAGAATCTCAGGCTTCAAGATTTCTGCTTTCTTTTTCGACAGAAATTCTAGGGACGATTCTCCATCTGTTCACTTAGTTTTCAAAGGTTTTAATGGATCCGCACAGATTCCAATGGTAACCCGACTATTGCTTCACTGACATATGCTCCCATGACAGTTGCTCCAGAGATAATTCGTCCTGGCGACACTTGCTCCCTGGACAATTCAGAATATTGGTGTCAGTGTCGATGAGGGTAACAACGTGAATGTGAGTGAGAGCATGAATATGATTGATTGTGTGTGAGGGTGCGGATATGGCTTAGTGTGATTGTGGGGAGCAACTGTCGCTGGGGATATCTGTCAGGAGAGCACTTGTCATAGAACCGATTCGAATAGACCGTAGGATGAGCATCAGAGTCGCTTGTTCTCTTTGTAAAATAGAGAGTAGTCAGGGTTGTATGAATAGCACATGATGATCGCATGGATTTATTCGCTACATAGTTTGAATTATACATCGCTATTTTATGAATTTCATTGCTCTTCTTGCTTTTGTGAATATTCAAAACACTAATTTGTGTTGATGAATCATAATAAGTTCTAATGGATCCTGGTGGATCCTAATGGATCCCAGGATCCACCAGGATCCGCTTTTTTCCCCTTGGGAAATCCGAACCTTACGTCAGGTTTTACATCCGGCCATTCCATTGGCTAACAAGCCGACCAATCAGAAATGAGCTTTTTTATTTTAAGGTTTTTTAGCCTTTTGATGAAACTTTATTATAGGTTATCAAGGGCCAGGATTCCGAATCTGACGTCGGATTTTATATCCGACTTTCCCATTGGCCAGAAAGCCAACCAATGAGAAATGTTCTTTTTTGTTTTAAGCTTTTTAAGCTTTTTGATGAAACTCTACCATAGGTTATCGAGGGCTATGATTCTGAATCTGAGGGCGGATTTTATATTCGACCTTCCCATTGGCTAGAAAACCGACCAATCAGAAATGAGCTTTTTTGTTTGAAGCTTTTAAAGCTTTTTGATGAAACTCTACCATAGGTTATGGAGGGCCAGGATTCCGCATCTTAGGTTGGATTTTATGTCCGACCTTTCTATTAGTTAGGAAGCCGACCAATCGCACATAAGCTTTTTTATTTTAAGTTTTTTGCGACTTACGATGAAATTTTAGTATAGGTTTCGAGGGCCAGGATTCTTGATCTGAGGTCGGATTTTATATTCGGTTTTTCCATTGGCTAAGAAGCCGAGCAATCAGAAATAAGCTTTTTTTGATTTTAAGCTTTTTGATCATTTTCATGGAACTTTAGTACAGGTTATGGAGGGCCAGGATTCCTAATCTGAGGTCTAATTTTACATCCGGCCTTTACATTGATTGGGAAGGCGGCGAATTAGAAATGAGCTTTTTTATTTTAACCTTTTCGAGCGTTTGATGAAACTTCATTATAGGTAGGCGATGGGCAGGATTCTGTATCTTTGATCGGATGTTACATGTTAAAAATGTTGACGGAAGTAACTCGGGGTCGGAGAATCCGAATGTAAAGTCGATTTTTCAAAATTTTGAGTATGATTTTTTCAGTTAAAGAAAGAGTTTTTCGAGAAAATAACGATATTTTAGAATAGTTGGAGAGCCTAAATCGGCTTTAGAACATCCAACTCTTTACTGTATTGCTGGAAGTTTGCCGCTATAATTTTACAATCAGGGTAAGTTTTTTTAAGGAAACAATAAGTTTTCGGTGTATTGAACACTGAGTGGTATGAAATAAAATGAGCTTGTCATCTGACAATGATTGGGAGAGTAACATATTCAAATGTATTAGCGAAATTGTAGGGTCGACTATCTTACTAGCGTAAACTATATCTGAGGTTTTTCCACAGTATGGGTATGAGGTGTAGGTGTAAGGTAGAACAAGATCAACTCGCTCAGGCACCAGAGCTCGAATCGAACCGACTTTTGTTGGTTCGAGTTCGGTTCGGTTCGTCTTCATTTTTTAAAACTTGGTTCGGGCTCAATTCGGCTCGTCTTCATTTTCTAAAACTTGGTCCGGGTTCGGTTCGGTTCGAATTCGTTTTTGGGCAACAAGTTCGGGTTCGGTTCGGTTTACCTTTTTTTTCTAAAAGCCGGTTCGAGTTCGATTCGGTTTGGCTTTGTTTTCTAAAAGACGGTTCGGTTCGGTTCGGTTCGGTTCTATCTAACCCTGATTTCATCTACTGTCTAAAAGAAAAGCTTCTAAATTCCATTGCATTCGTATGTCACGACTATGTCGTAAAATAACTTGTCCAATGTATAAATAATTAGTAATTCCCTCTGAACTACAGTAACTTTTTATCCGAAAAGCCCACATCCGTTCTCTTCCAACATATCACTGAGACACATTTTCTTTGATTTAGCATAATTTTATAATTTGCATTATCATTCTTTAGTAGTAATTTAATAGACTCCGACGTATAGTTTGAAGACGAGTTTATGGCAGGTTCTGAAGATAAATTTCGATTGGCGAATGAGTAATTGATGAGTTAGAGGATGCCATTTTGATAATAAGTTGAAGTGAGTAGTTTATGAGAACAGGAATATGCAATAACCTCAAGATGTGAATGAAGAAAAGATGATGATATGTCAATTATTTTTGAAAAAACACTGTTGTCAATTAGACAAGCATCCGCCCGTTCTTTGCAGCATGAAACAATAGAACAAATAGGAGAAATAAATTAAAAATTTCTACCGTGTATAAGTGACCAATCATCATGGATACATTGCCTGTAATTATTACAAAGAGAGAACAAAACGATGTATGGAAATTAAATTAACTGTGTAGAATGATTGGTCAAAGGTCGC